CACAAAACACGTTAACGGAAATATCGTGCAAAAAAAGACTTATTTCTAATGTTTTGCCAGAAAAGCCTTGAATATTTTGATGTACTACATGGAAACGATTAGACTTTTCTGTTGTCGTGTTTTTCAGTTTAAATTATGGTTAGTAAAAAGTATACTGTTGCTACTTAAAGTAGGAGCATTGTCGTGGGACTGTGTTATATCTTCTATAACAGCGTCCTTAATATTAAAAGATAGCAAACTAGCTATATGTCTTAGATACCTTAGGGGTAAAAGTAAATTATCCTCAAAAAGTTTGAAGTTCCTTACGAACTTATTAATGTCAAAACAAAATATAACGTCACTATGACGGCAAGTCAAATTATGAATGTGCGAATTTATGTTATATATATACTTATTACGAGCGATGCCTAGGTTAGAGCAGTAAGGGAATGCACTTAGTATGAATTTACACCCACACTTCTCATGAACTCTCAAGAACACGTCAATGCTACTATTTACTTCTTTTTTACTAATGTTAGTACTATCACCTATTATAAGAATCATTGTTGTATATTTATCAAAGTTGCAATCACTTAACAGTGTAATAATTTGACTAAAAGTAGCTCCTGGATAGCAATAGTTGACTACCCTTTGTTTTAAGTGGTTACTAAGGCGGTGGCCTAGTCCTACGCCTATTTTATCAGAAAAAACTACCGTTCTTCTGGATGGCCTGGTCGGAGTTCTAATAGTCTTGGTTGACCGTTGACTGTGCTGAACTTCAACAGTTGTAGTGGAGCAGACGCGTTTTCCTGCAGCAACGCTGGCATACGATGCACGTGTTGGTTGCGTTGATGATGTGGGTGGTGGGGACGGAGTCTGATTTATTTCTACTGGACCATTTGTTTCACTAAGCTCATCGTGAAGAAGGACTTGAGTAAGTTCTCTATACATACTACATACTATACATACATACTATATGGGGGCGTTGATGCTGTTCAGGAGGCGCTACCACGTTTGAAAAAAACCTGTGTATGCATAATTTTTTTTCTTGTCATAATTTGTGTTAAGTTAATATTAAAAATACGTGTTTTCAAATTATCTTTGTGGTGGTGTGCGTTGAAAGTTTGGGAACCTATACTTTCGAAGTTAAAGGGTAGAGAGACGAATCATTGTGAGAAAATATAAGTGCTGATAAGGTATTTTTTTTATGTATAATAGACATACGCTTGGCCACAATATCACCTGATGTTAAGTAACGATGTGACCGACGATGGGTTGCGTTTGTCTAAAAAATGCCTATTCACTCTAGCCTTGAATAGCCCCAAATTGTACTTTTCGGGAAATATAGATGCCAGTAGAGCATTCCATTTTGCCGTACACATCAGAAAGGGAGGAAGCAAAGCGCTTAGTCGACCGAATGAGGTGCGGTGAGGGCGGAACCACCTCGCTCCACCGAGTACAAGGCAGCTAACTGGTAATGGGCAGAGCCGTCCCAAAGGTGGCAGCAGTACTCCATACAGGATCGAACTTGTGCTTTATACAGATTTAAAAGCTGTTCAGGTGTGAAGTACCGCCTGACCCTGTAAAGTATGCCTAGGTATAGAAACTTTTTGAAGACAGGCGTATAATTTAACACGGTTGAGGTCAGCATGGTGGATTATAACCTTCTCCGATCGCGTCAAGACCAATATCCAGCAGTGAAACATATATGGCTTCAACAATGCATTATGATAAACATTAGACCCATTTGCTGTATATAGATGATTTGGATTTAAAAAAATCGTAATCAAGAATGAACAGTGCGAAATTATAGTTAAAGAATTTTCAGCGACTTTTTTACTCTTTATTTATTTAGGGGCTTTGATCATCAAACGTCATACATTTGGATAAAATAAATAAATTATTAAAATAAATTCATTCGATTTTTCAAATTACACTAAATACCTGTCTGTTTGGTAATAAAATCATATTTAAATGAAACTCAAATGACTAATTGGCATGTAACTGGACTAATATCTTCAACTGTCTGTTTCTTAGTTTCTTAACGTCGATCTACCCGCAAAAAAGAAGTTTTCAATACCTACATATAGATTGGTCCACATTAATTTAGTTCATGTAATATCAAATGTACTGATTCGACCGATTTACAATAAGAGATTGACTACTTTATTACAAACTCTGAATTTATAAATTAAGAACTGTTTTTGATTAAGTCAATCACAACAACGTGTTCATTTTCAAATTTTTCTATTAACGTGTCTATGTAGGTTGTAGCTCTACGGGTTGTCGACGAATCTCTAATGAAACCGCCTCTGTTTATTCTGCCGATACGAAATGAGAAATGAGTGCAGCAAACCTTAACAATTGTTGTCCGTACCGAGCGCGATACCTCCCACCTCGTTCTACAATTGAAATGTTATTTAAATTTCAATCCGTCGAAATAATTTCTCATATTCAATTTCATTTGATCTCAAACTAAATCAATTTTAGGAGTGTTGGAATTGGGTGAATAGTGAATGATTGTACAGCTTTTTGTTATATATTTTTTATAAAAACAGCTTGCGAAACCACAAACAGAAAGGAATAAGTGTACGATTGGACTTAGATATTATCTATCGAATTGATATCAATGGCGTGTTGTTAAAATGTAAATGTGTATTGGAATAGTAAACAGGAGCTTACTGTGTCAATAGAAGAAATAATATTAGGAAAGTGGCGGGTGAAGGCGAGCGGCGATGGGGCACAATCCAGTGGATTAGGCGTGGAACACGCACTCCCATGCTGCGGCGGCGGGTGGCCCGCTATTTATGTCGGGTCGCAAACCAAACAACTTGTAGGCTCTTTATTACAGTTGTTCTTTTCAGCTCACGACGTCGTTACCGCGTCGATAAAATATCGTGCCGATTCGTTTGCAGCGAGGCCTTACATTCTATCTTTGGCATTTGATTCCGAATTATACCTAAATATTTCTGTATGCTAAATTTCTTTATAAATAGGATAATTATGAAGTTCCATCTACAGTACACAATTTTATCGTTTTACTTTGAGCCTTTTGGCAACCACGATTAGACAGTAATTTATCTGTACATTGTTAACATATTTCTTTACATTGTGATTGTAATTGCTTAAAAGACCTATTTTCACGTAGCGTTGAATACAAACGATAATATCTGCTAATAAGAGAGCACAATTTACCGAACAACGTTGGTAATATGAATGGTTTGCTTTGGTTTCAGATGTTTTGACACAATGGCATGAACATAGCTCAAATGGAGCGGGCGGGGCGTCGCGCGAAAGCGGGCTCGCTTAGCGGCCTCGCGGGCGGCTTGCCGAGTGGCGCGCCAAGCGTGCGGCGCCAGCGCTCGCTCGAGTGGGGCGGAGATCGCTACAGTAGTAGCGATGATGACCGTCCTTCGCAACCTCCACCTCTCGCTGATAGAGTTTTCGCTTCCTTGCTTGCCCAAGCCACGCAGCAATTTGATGGTGAGTCAATTACATTACATAGACACTTGGATGTTTTCAAATAACTTCGGTTGATTTCTTGTTTACAAATGCAGCAAAATGAGAATGGAAAAGCTTCTCTTTTAGTATGTCAGTGGTGCTGAAACCTATTGATGTATTCGATATAAATGTTTTGCATTACGTATATTTTTTGCGTGCGTGTCATTGCGCATTTTCAAAGAATACAAAGGCAAATCCTACACTATGTTGCATATTATGTCACATGAAATAACACTGCACACCACAGAAAAGCTTGGTTTGCTATAAACGTCTAAATTACCCTCTGCACGCCGCTTCGCTGTCGCCGCCTAAACACGCGCTCAACAATTTAGCAACATGTGCTAAAACGATATTATAAGTACGAATGTTGGTTATTACAATTGTGTTTTATATATTATTTTATAGAACGGTAGGAACGATTGACACTTTCAGTCGTTTTCAGCGAATACGCGTTCAATGTGCTGCCAAATGCCCCGTGTTTATTGTACACGCTTTCAAATAAAACATGCAAAACCATGCATGAACTTTGTTTTAAACGCTACGAAATGAAAATAAGTTTTATTTCTGTAGGCAGTTTTATAATTTTTTACAAAAATCACGTTATTCCAATTCGAGATTTTTGAACGAAACTTTATCCGCACAGAAAAAAGGTTTTTCCATATCTGGAAAACATCAGTATTCAAAGAGGACGACTAGACGCATGATATTTTGTAGCTTTTTAATATTTGGCCGGCGGCCGGCTGCTACGGGCTACGGCGTAGCGGGATCATCTTAGAATTTGTTATTCACCGAGTGACACGGCCGAAGGTCCGCGCTGAGCCCTAACAAGTGGGATCATTAGTGGAGCTCTAAGGGGCGGGGAAAGGATGCAAGGGGACAGGGAAGTCGGCAATTGATAGGGGAGCGCCCTGTGGTAAGCTTATGAGGAAAAGTTTACACGTAAACTCTGCCAGCCTCTGCACACCGTCCTTGCCAAGTAAACTTGATGAAGCCATAGAGAAAGTTGTATAATAATTTTATAGGGGTTTCGATGATAATAGCTTAATATTTACCAATTTCTTATAAACAAACATTGTCATACAAAACAGTACAGAAACCGATGTATGCATTCCAAAATGTAGTAATAATCAATAGTAAAACGGTATTCTATGAATAAATCAACGTGACGACGGACCAATAATTTTGCACTGCTCCGTTCAATTTGTTTCGCAAAAATCGTAACAAACAACGTTATATTAAACGTCAATGAGCCACCGCTGGAACAAAATACCTATTTGTACATCGACAAATGTTTTCGACGTAGACTCGTTAACACAGATAACACAGAATTTTGAAAAGCTTCCAAAATAACTCATAAACCTGCGTGCTATCACGCCTGTTTCCAAATGGGCATAATAAAATACCTCGGAAATATGAATGTTATAATTATAATACCAAGATCGAACACAATGAACAATTCTTTCAGGATAGGGCTCGAATATGTGCCTGTTGGCCAATCTAAGGCAACAGGTCTGCCAACTAAGCTATAAAGATCTGTAATAAACGCATAGACAAATTAGTTAAGTCTGCTAATTCGATAAGTAGCTCAGTTGTCACAAAAATAAATGAATGTTTTATTGAGATTTTTTGTGAAATAACTCCACTAACTAACAGTCTTGTTACGATTAATAATACACACAATAGCGGCGACGAATGCCAAAAGCCTGTACAAAGTTTTATGACAAAAACACTTAGGAGAATTTCAACGGCTCACTAATGTCACCTGTGACTCAGTTGGTAAGAGCAATGCTACGGTGCATCATGGTCATGGTTTCAAGTTCCACCGGGTCGAAGAGAATTTTCTATCTTTATATTAATAATCATAAATAAATGTTATAGTAGTAAAAATTCATATTAAAATATATTACAAGCTAAACCCTTCCTCCGTTACCGTACCTCTGAACGATCACTATAAATAACACGCGCAGCTGCAGACAGCAGCCCTTTTTTCTATCGACGTGCCGAAGCTTTGTGGTTATATAATTGTGAGGTGAGGTTTTAGTCATGTTTGAATAATTAGTGTGAGTATGTAATCTTTGTAATCAAATTCTTTTAAGTGTAATTACGCTGTTTTGCTTTAGTATTAATTTTTATTGTTAAAATTGTAGGTAAAAAGATAAAGTCAGTTACCATATTTTGTTTTGTTTTGGTTATTTTTCACTCCTGTCCCGTAGCATGGCTACGCATGATAGTTGCAACGCGCGCGATAAAGTTGAAACAAGCACGCCCTATTGGCTACCTAAATTAGATCTGATTGAGACTGCCAATAGCGCGCGCTTATTTCAATTTTATCGCGCGCGTTGTGACTATCATGCGTAGCCATACTACACTCGTAGTATCTAGTTTCCTTAAAATATAATATTACTATATCGATGTCTATAAATACTGAAACTAAAAAAGAATTTGTATTTTTATGCAAATATATAAGGTAGTGGCGCCAACTGACAAGCACCACTGTTCGACATTTAAAAAAATTAATTTCTAATAAGATTTAGGATAAAATTTTCTATTATAGTAACACGCTACATATAGGTAAGTATCGATTATTGATGAGTGGCGATTACTGGTTATTTAATTAGTGGGTTTCTGGTGTTCATTACAAGAGATTTAGAGAAATTCTAGTTTAGGTTTTTTAGTAATAATTGTAATAAGTTTTTAATGGAACATATTACAGCATAATCTTTCTTGAGGATCGTACCTGTGAACTAAAACTATTTACTATTGATAAAATGTTTAAAAACAAAAAGTTATTTCAAATTTAAAGACACACTTCCCTTAAAATGTCCATCGTTGGTACCATCAATTTATAGCTTATTAAAAATTATATTATATAATCAGCTTTTTAAAAATTATAATTTTTTTTAAACACAACTACTTATACACAACTGAATGTAAGGTGAACTCCAGTAACCGACACAAAAATGGTTTACATAGTCCCATAATAATAAACTTTTCGAAATCAACCTCAAGATAAGGCGACTTTCAACCATGAGTCTATACTAAATAAAGTGGGTTTTAAATGGTATGTGGTATCGATAAAGGTTTAGGCCACAAACTTTTCTGTGTAGTTGACGTGGCGCTACTGTAGCATGTTCAAAGTTAGAATACAGGAAAATTAAGTTGGTTCCAGGTTTGTCCACTAGTAAATATAAATTTGTATAAGTATAGTCCCGGCTTATGACGTGGTCTCGTCTGTCGTAGAGATGAGAACGAACGAACGCGCTCGCTCGGCCGATACAATCCCTGAGGTTTTGTTTTTATTACTATTGATTTGAATACTTACCTTATATGTTCGGCTGGCTTTGAATTTGTTCTCTTTGACAGGAAATAATAAACCTCTTGATCAAAAATTGTCAAACTGTAAACTTTTATTAGAGGTGACAGCTTTGTGACAGTTAAGATGCATAAATAAATTAATGAATGGAAGTAGAATCCATACAACTAAGACTTATTACATACTGAATGGACAATAGCTAACTCTATAATCTCGGAATTACTATATTGTATTTTGTTCTATATTTTTAATAAAACGTGCATATTACCACCGCATATACGTTTTACGGTAGTATATTTAGAGGAAAAATTTAGTAATTGTAATTAAAAATATATTTATACAGATCTTCTACTGCTATGCAGCACGTAGGGAGTTTGCTACATGGACACATTATTTCATTTTGAAAACTAAGTGAAACTGCATTTAAAAACTTTTAATAAATTGCTTGCCTCATCTGGGAATCAAATCGTCCAAATGTGAAAAAAAGCATCTCATTTATATGATTCAGATCAACATTTTAAAACAGATCGACATCTACTATTATAAGGATTTCTTTATTCAATCTTGAATTAAAGAAGCACCATAAAATGTTACATCTAAGTTTAAGAAAATGAATAATAATGCATTTTACTATCGATATACTTACTACTACTACTACAAGATACAAACTACAAAATGGGACTCGGGATTTTTTTCACATTTGTTCAGTTCTATTCTCAAATGAGGTAAGTAACTTTTAAAAAATCTATGAATGCAGTATTATTTACTTTAAAAAAATAAATAATGTCGCCGTGAAACCATAATATTCCATCTATAATATTTAAAATACTTTCCCTCCGTGTCGTATAGCCGTGGGACAGCTCGTATATTATATTCAGATTTTTTGGTCTTTATTTATAATCATTTCGGTACTTCAGAGGAGGTATTTGGAGGTATTATAGATTTTATTCTTATTATTAATAAAGTGCCAAACACCAGGCAGACAATTCCTAACACCTAGATCAGAAGCAATTTAAAAAATCATTTTCTCAAATTAGTCGTACCTGCAATCGAACCCATGACCTACTCATCCAGTGCCTACCGTTGGACTACTGAGGCCATCTACGTGTATTATGAAAAATTTAGAAAAATATATAGGGAGGATCAGGTGGGGCAAAAGCAACACCGGGGAAAGATGGACTTGAAGCCTTAACTCATAACCTAAAGCGTGTACAACTGCAGTCTCTCAGTGGATAAAACAGGTAAACAAATTAGTTTAAATAATTTTAAAGAGACGTCGCTGCGAAGCTCCAAATCCAAAAGGCGGGAAAAACAAATTGAGCAGTTGTGAAATCTCGAGAACACGAGATACACATTACCTTTACAAGAAATACGATGACTGTTCATATTACCCTATCTTTTGGGGGAAGAGAAATGTTAACACAATATGCATGGTTTTGGCAAATACATTGAAATTAGCGTAACGATTGTTATAACATGTGAAGGTCATAAACAAATGTAAGTTTATTGTACTTTGAAATTATTATCATAAGCTCTTATTATAATAAAACATTTGACTCAAAATAAAGTATGTTCCTCTTGTCTCATTTTACTATAGCTATACTTTTCTTACACACGTAGAATAAAACAATACACAATAGTAAAGGTAGAAAAAAATATAATACAGCAT